CCTCCTCCCGCCGCCCAGGAGGGACGTGGGTGTCGGGACCCAAGTTTGTGCGGGTACGTGGGTGCCCCCCCCCCGCGGTAAGGACCCCCCGGGGCCACCGCGGCCACCCCCGGGGAGCGGGGGGGGCCCCGGGAGCGGGGGGTGCGATGGGGACACGGGGGGGCAGCGGGGACACGGGGGTGCGGTGCGGACACGGGGGTGCAAGAGGGACACAAGCGTGCGATGGGGACACGGGTGGGCACGGGGACACGGGGGTGCAATGGGGACACAAGTGTGCAACAGGGACACGGGCATGTGGTGGGGACACAGGTGTGCAACAGGGACCTGGGTGTGTGATGGGGACCTGGGTGTGTGATGGGGACACAGGCGTGCGATGGGGACCTGGGTGTGTGACGGGACACGGGTGTCTGATGGGGACCTGGGTGTGTGACGGGGACACGGGTGTGCGATGGGGACCTGGGTGTGCGACGGGGACCTGGGTTTGTGACAGGGACACGGGCGTGCGATGGGGATACGGGCGTGTGATGGGGACCTGGGCAGGTGATGGGGTGTGCAACAGGGACACCACGGGCGTGCGATAGGGACATGGGTGGGTCACAGGGAAGTGGGCGTGTGGTGGGGACACAGACGTGCGATGGGGACACGGGCATGCGATGGGGACATGGGTGTGCAACAGGGACACAGACACGCAACGGGGACACGGACATACAGCAAGGACGTGGACTTGTGATAGGGACACGGGCATGTGGTGGGGACATGGGCGTGCAACGGGGACAGACGTGCAACAGGGGCGTGGGCACGCGATGGGGATGTGCACATGCGATGGGGACACGGGTGTGCGATGGGGACACGGGTGTCTGATGGGGACATGGGTGTGCGATGGAGATGCAGCCACGCAACGGGGACATGGGCACGAGATGGGGACGCACGATGGGGACGCAGACACGCGGTGGGGACACGGGCACAGGGTAGGGACACAGACATGGGATGGGGACACACATGTGATGGGACACGGGTGTGCAGCGGGGACAGGGACACGTGATGGGGACAGGGACATGCTATAGGGACACGGCCATGCAATGGGGACCCAGCCATGATGGGGACATGGCCGTGCAATGGGGACAGGGACACGCAACGGGGACCCAGCCACGTGATGGGGACCCTGCTGTGCCACGTGCACGAGGGCCATGCCACCGTCCCCCAGCCCCGGGTTGGTGCCAGTGAGGTGACGCCCCGCGGGACCAGTGGCGGGGGGGGGAGCTGGCCACGTCCCCAGGGGGTCACATCGGTGACCACGCAGGGAAGGGACATTTCGCTCCCGTCCTCGCTTGGCCGAGCCCCGGGGCGAAGGTCCCAGTGGGGAAACTGAGGCACGGAGCGGGTGCCCCGCCCCCTCAGCTCTCTCCTCTCCAGCACCTGCTCAGCGCCGCAGGATGAAGGCTCTCCTCCTCATCCTCCTCGCCCCGCTCTGCTCTGCATCGCTGGTCCCCGGTAGGTGAGGTTTGGGGAGGGGCTGCACCCCAAAAATGGGTGCTGTTGGGTGCTATGGAGCCCGGTTTCCCCCCCGCAGAGAGGGAGAAGGACCCCGAGTACTGGCGGGGGGGGGCGGGGGGGCAGGCGCAGGAGACCCTGCGGGCCGCCCTGCGGCTCCAGCGCCTCAACCAGAACGTGGCCAAGAACCTCATCCTCTTCCTGGGCGACGGTGAGAGGGGCACCCGCCCCGGGGCGGGGGAGGGGGGCCCGCCGCAAAGTGGGTGCTGTGGTAAACTGGGCGTGCAAATAAAATGGGGTGTCACGATAAGGCGGGTGCTGCGATAAAGTGGGTTTGCGATAAGTTGGGTGCTGGGATAAACTGGGTTTGCAATAAGTTGAGTGCTGGGATAAACTGGGTTTGTGATAAACTGGGTGCTGCAATGAACTGGATTTGCAAAAAATTGGGTGCTGCGATAAACTGGGTTTGCAATAAACTGGATTCTGGGATAAATTGGGTGCTGCACTAAACTGGGCTTGCGATAAATGGGGTGCTGCGAAAATTGGGTTTGCAGTAAGTTGGGTGCTGGGATAAACTGGGTTTGCAATGAACTGGGTGCTGCAATGAATCCATTTGCAATAAAGTGGGTGCTGCAATAAATTGGGTTTGCAATAGATTGGGTTCGTGATAAACTGGGTGCTGGGATAAACCGGGTACTGCAACAAACTCAGTTTGCAATAAACCGGCTGCTGGGATAAACTGGGTTCGCAACACATTGGGCGCTGGGATAAATCGAGTGCCCGCCGGCGTTGCGCGGCACCCGTGCGGCGAGCTGGCCCGTCCTCGGCGGCGAGCTGACGGGTGGCCTGGCAGGCATGGGCGTCTCCACCGTCACGGCCGCCCGCATCCTCAAAGGGCAGCTGCAGAACCGCAAGGGCGAGGAGAGCCTGCTGGAGATGGACAAGTTCCCCTACGTCGCCTTGGCCAAGGT